TGAGAATGGGAAGTTGGGGGTCGGTGGGGGGGGGGGGGGGGGGTTGTAGGATGAGAGAGAGAGAGAGAGGTCGGCTTGTTCCCCTTGTTCCTCGAGACTGAAGGGGCTATATCCACAGGAGGAGGTAAGCAGGGATGCAAGGGTGGTTGAGTGTCACAAATAACTCTTCATGCATCTTCCAACAGAATCAATGGCGATACATCAGATTAAGCAGTGCAACCGTCCTGTGGCAATGTCCAACTTGAAAGGGTTCTTCTTCATTGTGAACCGCAGATAACAAGGATTAGTGGTGAGGAACACAGAATCCAGGTAACCTTGCAGCCAATGGATTGTTTGGAGCGCGTAGAAAGGGAAGCTCACAAAAGTGAATGCCGGATGGAGGACAAGAAAAGCAATCTGACTTCTTTATTTGAAAAAGAAAGACGAAGAAGAAGAAGGTAGTCAGGTACTGACCTGTAAGTTTGTGCTGGCGACTGGGTAGCAAGTGCGATCAGGGTAGGTAAAAGCATTGAGGAAAGTCTGGAGAGATCCCTTCATCAGCTCAACAAATGGCTCCTTGATTGGATACTTGCGACTTCCGCACAGGACGCTATGCTCTAAGATGTGAGGGATGCCAGTTGAATCAGTCCTACACATAAAAACCATCATGTCATAAACAGTTCAAATGATTAGAGACAAGTGCACAAGGTCACACACACACACACACACACACAAACACAAGTGGAGAGGTTGGGGGGAAAACGGTGCAATTCCACAGGAGAGTCAATGCATCAACCACAATGTATCGAGTGTGATTCACCGACAAGCTTCATCATCATTGTCATTCTCCCTTGCACCTTTCAACCCTGCGTGGCCCTTCTGGAAGAAAAGGCAAAAGGAAAAAAACGAGGAACGAGTTTCAACGTTTGTGCACAGTCACTCGGGGGACACAATATGCAAGCAGGAACACCGGTCAGAAAACAGGCAGAAGATTGAAAGCAAAGCAGCATCATTGTCTGTGATTGAAAGCAAAGCAGCATCATTGCCTGTGATTGAAAGCAACGCAGCACCAAGGCAGAGAATAAATGCAGACAATCATCCAGAGCATGTGATTGCAGTGATGCAACTGCACATCATCCAGAGGAGAACAGCAGTGAACGTCATTGTCAGACTTAAACTCAGCAATCAAGAGGAGAACAAAAGTGAATGTCATTGTCAGACTTAAACTAAGCTACCTGGCGATTGGAGGTAAATGCACATCATCCAGAGGAGAACAGAAGTGAATGTCATTGTCAGACTTAAACTCAGCAATCAAGAAGTAACTGCACCATCCGACACAGCATACCGCCTCCATTCGTGTCACATTTCAGCTCTGACTCATTTGTTCTCTGTCATACAGGAGTGTGCATACACTTCATGCCACCTGCCTCTACGTCACAGCACAAGCTTCACACACACCTTGCTGCCTGGTGCTGTATGTTCGTTCTGGCTTTTCTGTTCTTTAAACCTTTTTTATGGTGTGGTCCATGTACACTACACACAACCCAACACTCACTTCATGCGGTGGCAGCCTACATCCCAGACAACCCACTTGTTTCACCTCGCTGCTTTCTACTATTGCCTCTTCCAAGCAGCGTACAAAACAATCTAGAGCTGCCATGCACACATGGGGCAGGACACAAGCAAACAGAAAAGTGCAACTCTCCACACACGGAATGCCGCCTCCACCCCCTCGTCATCATCGTTACCCTCATCATCATCATCATCATCACCACTGACTAAATGCATGAAACGGAGAACAGGAGGAGGTGCAATAAGCCTGAACGTGAAGTGAAAAAAAAAAGAAAAAAAAAGAAGGGAAAACCAACATCTCATGCCACACTGAGATACAACTTCAGCACATGAGAGACAGAAACCAAAGCACATGAGATGAGAAATCAAATTGTCTGGAAATCAAAATCTTACGCAAACAAGTTCGTGTACACCAGGCTGGACAGCTACGGCCACCGGCAACAACCAAGGATGAACTCTCTCTCTCTCTCTCTCTCTCTCTCTCTCTCTCTCTCTCTCTCTCTCTCTCTCTCTCTCTCTCTCTCTCCGTCATGCACTAACCAAACGTGAAGGCTGAGAAAGGGTTCGTGGCAGGCTGTTCGCCAAGCATTCCCACACTCGTCAAAATGTATATCAAGCCTCAATAGTCGACCAGTGACCCAACCCTTACGCTGTAAGCAACTGACTGCCAACAACATACAGCTGGTTCGCAAAAATGCACAGATGACAACACTACAGCAATCCATCTGTACATCCTTGCCATCCAAGGGCCAATAATTTACAGATTTATGTAGGTAGTTCTCAGCACAGCATCGAAAGAGGCAGGTGGAAACAATGGACAACAACGCCTGTGTGGTGGATTGTATACTCATGACAGAAGTGTTCGACACAGGCAAAGACAGCTGTGACAGATTACTCCCATGTAAAATAGGGCATTATATACTTACGGGGGTGTTCGGAACACAATTCCAAAGACTTTGTTCTCGTCGTCATTGCTGATAGACATCACTTCTGCCCCAGTCTTTTTGTGTCTGTACAGCACAGCACTGGCCTTATACTCCTCCAAGAACTGGTCCGACAAAACCTCAAACCCAGTCTCTGCCAAGGTCACCTCTTGAATGGGCACTGCAAGACAACAAGGCAAGCAAAAAAGGTCAGTAGGCAGGCACATAGACAGTCGGCAGACAGGCAGGCAGGCAATCCAGATAGACAGTCAGGCAGACAGGCAGGCAGGCAGACAGGAAGACGGAGGCAGACAGAGAGCAGACATAGACAGGCAAACAGAAGATCAGACAAACAAGCAAGACAGTCAGACGGATGGGCACAGACGTATAAACGGGGAGACAGGACAAGGCAAAAACGACAGAGAGACACAGACACCCAGAAAGGCAGGCAGGCAGGCAGACAGGCAGACAGGCAGACAGACAGACAGGAAGACAGAGACAAGCAGGCAGATACACAGACACAGAAGACCAGATACACAGGCAGGCATACAGAAAAATAGGAAGACAGGAAAACACACACACATTGCAGGGTTGGTGTGAGTAAAGTCGACCGCTTTTTTGAGGGGTATTGCTAACTCTGGGCGACATGGTGAGTCCTTATCCATCAGTCAAATGCATACTGGGCAGACTGTTGGGGTCCTCCTGATGAGTCGGTGAAAGTCCGACAAAAGAGTCCGGCACAGGCATGCTTTTATTCCGGAGTTATGTATAGCCAACATGACAACACACACAAGCAGCAGATACAAAGACACAGAAAGACACAGAAGACCAGATAAAGACGCAGGCATACAGCCCGATAGGAATACAGAAAACCAGAGAAAGGGAAGACAGAGGCACACACACAAAACAGAAAAAGCCAGAGAGGCAGGCAGGCAGGCAGGCAGGCAGGCAGGCAGGGGGACAAGCAGGCAGATGTAATGGTCCATAAATAAATGAAGAGCATCTTGGTTTCACTTGTACATAACTAGAATTCTCTTAGTTCAATTTACACGTACCTAGAAATCTAGAGCATTCATCTTAGTTCAACTTTTATGAAACAGTGAAACTAGAATTCTACCAATTCTTATCCAAGTTCAATAGCCATGCTTGTGAAAATTCAGTGATAAGCAAACTACTATTCGTACATGGCAATGATGCAAGGTCTCACCAGTCTCACCAGCATCAATACCGAGGTCACCTTCATTGCACATAGACACCCGTGAAATGTGCAAGATAACAAACCCTGGTACTATTGATGAGGAGGAGGAAATACAGATCATCTGTTTGCGGTGGCAGCACAATGTGCTTTCCTGCATAGGCCTTCACAAATGTAACCCTCAGCTTCGACAGAGAAGGAAGAAAGGAATGGCTGCAGCAGCGTAATCTTATCCAGTGTGAATAAGAATGAGCAACCCCAGTTTGTCCTAGGTATCTTATCAACCCCAGTTTGCCTGGGCTATCTTGCCAACCCTAGCTTGTTTTGACTATAAACGGCTGCAGACAGTTTGCTCTTACTGCTATTTCTGAACATCAACCCCAAATGCAGGTTGTTCTGAGTATCAACCCCAACTGCAGGTTGTACAGAGTATCAGCCCCAGTCTGTTCGGAGTATTAGCCCCGGTTATGTTCGAGAATCAAACGCAGTTATGTTCGAGAATCAACTGCAGTTTGTTCTGAGCATCCACCCCTGTTTGTTCTGAGAGTTGACCTCAGCTTGCTCTGAGCATCAACGCCAGTTTTATCTGACTGCCACGCAGAGTTTGTCCTGACTGGGGCTGTGAGACAGTTTGTTCTGACTACTATCACCTCCAGTTTGTTCTGACTACTATCACCCCTACCCGTAGTTTGATCACAGCATCAAGTCCAGTTGGTTTGGACAATCAACCCCAGGTTGTTTTAAGAGTTGAACCCAGTTTTCTCTCACAGTAACTGCTGCACCCAGTTTGTTCTGGAATGCTATCACTCCCTGAACAACTCATCCAATGTTGGCCCTGGGTCAACCACTATTAACTCTCTCTCTCTCTCTCTCTCTCTCTCTCTCTCTCTCTCTCTCTCTCTCTCTCTCTCTNTCTCTCTCTCTCTCTCTCTCTAGCTCGCTCGCTCTCTCGCTCTCTTCACCCCATCTAGAGCAATGGTTCTAAACAAAAGGATAAAGGACACTCACCTGTAGGTTGGGAGGAGGTGGCAACACACCTAACGCTAGGTAAGCCATGCCTTCTGCTGTGCTGAGGAGGGATGGCAGGCCCTCCAGAAGCGCGTATTCTGTCCACGTGGCATGCTCCACCGGCATGAAGGATTCCGTCACCTCGACAACCACATGAGAGCGCCCTCATCAAGGATCCCCCATAGAAACTGGATGAGCTGGCACTCTGCAATCCACTATTCACATGTCCGACCCCTCTCCGGGCGCTCATAAATCCCTCCCCTCGTCTGAAGCGAAAGGCGCCGCCCTCACCTCTGGTACCGGAGGCAAACAGAGGCAAACGGAGCTTATGACCACTGCTGCCAAAGGTGTGTGGGGAGGTAGTGACCGGACGCATAGGGTGCAATCTGGCAGTCCACGCCACGTGAGCGGCCAAGGAAGCTGTACCATCCCGTCCATGATCGCATTGCCTGCCACGTGTCTCCACTGCAGCCACTCCTGTCGCTCTGCGGCAGCACTCCATTCCACACAAATTCACTGAATCTATTACCTCTATCTTCAGCGCACGACCAGCACAAGATGCCTGAAAGCCGCCGATTGCCAAGAAAAAACAGACCGAGAAGACAATCACACAGGGATCCCAAACAAGTGAATTTACTATTTATTGGTCATTACTTATTTACTATTATTGATAATGATAGTTAAAATTATCAAATGATTTCATTAGTTTGGCATGCATTTACTGAGAATTTCACTTGCAAAACCTCACCACAGCTTCAGTCCACATTGTGTCCCAGATATAAATTGCAAGGCAGAAAATTATTGTGAATTATAATACATAGATGGCGACATATAGCAAAAAAAAAAAAAAAGAAGGTTATAACTTTTAAGCCTAATAACTAGTAATAAGGCACAGAGGTATGGACCAGATCTCGAGCCCAGACACGTCCCACTACGCCTATCTAGTAAATCTGAACATGTTAGAAAGGGCCCAGAATGAAATCTTACGCAAAAACTCGAACGAATTTCAAAATCAGTCGATTTCCGAGGCATCTTTTCAGGCAGGGATGAGTATGGGTTTTCTTTTTTGGGGCCTTCTCTTTTTTTGTTTGTTTTCTTTTCCTTTCCTCTCTTTAAGAGCCTGCAAATTGGATCGACACACAGGGCACATGTCAAAGGGAGCCTAAATTAGATCTTGCTTGCAGGATATATCAGGAGGGGGATGTATCTAGAGTGAATATCTCTAGAGGAGATATGTCTAGAGGGGACATATCTGAGGGGCTCAAAGCGGGGGGGGGGTAAGGACTTCTAAGGGCTTCTAAGGGCTTCTAAGGGGGTTGAAGGGGGTTGAAGGGGGGTGAAGGGGGGTGAAGGGGGGTGAAGAGATTTTAAGGGGAGTTGAGGGGATTTAAGGCGGTTAAAGGGGGGTTCAATGGGTTTTAAGGGATATAAAGGGCTTTAAGGGGTATAAAGAGGGTTTAAGGGGTATAAAGGGGTGTAGGTAACCCACGAACCAGACTTAGATACCAACCCACTCATGAATACAAGAAGCGGTTCACTTTTTTGTCTTTAGCGGGGGTAGGGGGAAGGGGAGGGAGGCGAAGAGAAAGAAGGAAGAAAAGACTGCAAATTCAGCAGATCCATTCCCTCTGTAATATCTGTATATACTTTGTATTCGGAAAGAAAAAAGGAAAGAAAGATTGCAAATATGATCGGGCTCTTTTTGCCCGCCTGCTGCACTGCCTATCTATCTCACCTGCCTCCCTTAAGTGCCAAGGTAGGTCCTTTCCATGCGCTTGTGTTCCACAGTACCAAAGTGAAGAATTCCCCGTCAAGTCTGTATTGTTCCAATTGTAAGGGATATCACAAAGCACGAAGGTGAGTTTCACAAACACGGATTCTTCATTTCTGATCATAGGTTGGAAAGATCAACGGCCAGAAGCAGAGAACTGGGTAAGTGGGACCTTGCTCCTGAGCTATGGGCGGCGCTGACCTTCTCTCACAGCCCGGCAAAGGCTGGCACTGGTCATTCGGCAGAAGCCACGCTCCCCATGGGCACAGCGCAACATGAGTAACCAGTGGCCGCTCAGCCAAACTCACCCCAACCAAGGCGACTCGAACCTGGCCCAACCTTACTAACGTCTTCGCCCAGATAGAACCCCCGGTCATTATACCTGTATCTAGACTAAAAGTTGTCCAAGGACACGGTGTAATGAGCCCAGTCCCTCGTCAGTCAATCATGTCGTCAGATAACAATGCCGTGCAGTGTCGTGAGATAATCATTACAGCAAATCCATCAATTCGAAGTCATTGAAGTACATGATCCCTCATTACCACGTGTAAAGTCTCCAAGTCAAGAGTATCCAGACTACCGTAGAAAAAAGAGGGGGAAGGAAAGACAGACAGAGGGAGAAGAATATCGTAGCAATCGAGTCCCTCTTCTCCTCCAGGATTCCCACCTCTGCCACGTCAGCAATCTGTACACAGTATGACACGTGGCTGATGTAAATGCAGCCCCTCGCAGATGAGTGAACCTCCAGCAGCGAGCAGAATCAGCAGCAGCATCACATCAGGTGAGACCAGGTACGAGCACAGGGCATCACACTTCGCCCTCTCTCTCTCTCTCTCTCTCTCTCTCTCTCTCTCTCTCTCTCTCTCTCTCTCTCTCTCTCTCTCTCCTCACTACCTCACCGTCGTCTGGGGCCGCAGCAATGGCTGCCTTCTCCTCTCTCTCCTCTCCTACTACAGCGTCTGGCTGGCGCCCACCAAACAACCTGGCGCCAGCGGCCTCCCCTCAAGTCTCACGTGCAGCATCCAAGCCGCAAGCAACTCGCAAGACTGAAAGTCAAAGCAGTGGCGAGGTCAACTCTATATAGTGTTGACTCGCATTGTCCAGGGTCAGCTTCTGTCGGTGTGAGGCCCCGGATCGTCCGAATGTCGACGGCTCAGATGCAATTTGTCCCAGTTTCGGTCTGGACTCCTTGAGGCCTGAATCTTCCGGAATAGGCGGGGAGCATTCAATGCCTGCCAGCCCGTTCAATTTCTGGGCTTTGCTGCACTTTCCACAATGTATCTGGCTGCAATTCTGGGCAGCAGTGGATGAATCTGAGGGCAATCACGTTCAGAGCTTGTTATCCCTTTTCCCCTTTGTTTGTTTGGTTTTTTTTTGGGGGGGAAGAAGATTCTCGACTGTTTGTGCCACGACTCCACGTGACAGACGGGGAGCATTCAATACCGACTAGCGAGCTCCTCCGGAATGGATCTAACTGCGCCTTTGCTGAGGCCATTTTCAGGTAGACAAGTCGAAACAAGAAAACGACGACCTCTTTAGGGTCCAGGCAGCAGGTGCAGCATAAGGGGCGGCACCTGTGCCGAGCAACAAATGCCCCGCCCGTTTTGGTCCCTGCCATCCGATCTCTAAATCTCGGGGCCAAGAGCGGGACCAAGTTGAAAACTTCTCGAAACAAGCTTTCTCGGCCTTTTGGCTAAGTAATATCTGTTCTGATCAGTTTAATGATCTGATCCGTGGTCCATCGGACCACATGATATTAAATTATTATTTTTCTGGGCCACGGAGGGGTCATACGGATAAGCTTGCTTGCTCGACCCCTCCAGTGTTGCCTCCGTATTGCACTGCAGCAGAGTGCGGCCCAGAACTTCACCAAAAAAAAAAAAGCGAAACAAGAGCTAAACCTCCGCCAGTGGGGCACGGCCCATGGAAACAAACAAGGGAGAGCAGCATCCACCTCAGGCTCTAGATGCCTACCTACAAGGGGCAGATCAGTCATATGGACTCCCAGGGTTTTGCAAGGCCTATACGGGACTGTCACTGCCTTTCTTTTTTTTCTGTTTTTTTTTAACATCTGCTGGTGGGGTACTATTGGGGGTGATGGGGGCAGCCCCCGATAGCACCTCCCCCCAGATGGCTCCTTTCTATTGGTGGAAAGCTACACCTGCTGGAAACCGGGTCCAGCGTCCCTTTTATGCATACATCTGAAAAAAAAGACAGGCCTTAGCGGTTTTTCTGACCCGGGCCATTACCCAGTTTAGGCTTCAGTCAGCCTTCCTGAGATGCTTCCGCCCTTAGCTGGCCATACGTACCCATGTCTCCACATGGAAAGAGAGTTCGGTGACGGTGCATCCTGCATGTATCATCTATGTGCATGTAACTGAGCGAGTCTTTCGGGCAAGGCCGTAGTCTCTTTCCATGTGGAGACATGGGTACCTGCAGGATGCACCGGGTCACACCGCCTGACCAGGTTCACACCGCCTGACCAGGTTCACACAGCCTGACCAGGTCCACACCGCCTGACCAGGTTCACACAGCCTGACCAGCTTCACACGGCCTGACCAGGTCCAACCCTTGACCTGACTGGGGTGTACTCCTTTAGGCGTGATTTTGACCTGTGCCCCTGCCTTAGTCGGCCTTCCTTATTCTGACTGGGTGGTACGTATCCATTCCATGTCTTCGAAGTCGTTCGGACAAGACCGTTGTCTACCGGGCCGGGTCCCGGACACGCGAACCAGGTCCAACCCTCGCCTTGATTGACAGGGGTGTACTCCTTCCGGGCCTGAGCCCAGGGCTTACCGACGCTCTGCTGTCTGCTGAGAGGCCGCCCTCGCGGATCCAGAACTCTATTCAGAGCAGAACAAAGCACCTTCATTCCTCTCGTCTTGCGTCCTCTCCTCCCATAACCTCCTCCTCCTCCTCCCCCCTCTCTTTACCTCCCTCTCTTCCCCTCTACTCTCCTCCTGAGCTACAGTGTGTTTAAAAATTTACAATGTTTGTCACTTCATTTCTAATGTTCCATCTGCTGACGTCACCCCAAAAATTCCTTTTTTTTGCCGGTCCACAACCTCTCTCTCTCTCTCTCTCTCTCTCTCTCTCTCTCTCTCTCTCTCTCTCTCTCTCTCTCTCTCTCTCTCTCTCTCTCTCT